TATGCAGTTTATTTACTACACATTCAGCTGAATTTAGCAATTGACTTCCTTATTGTTGGAAAATTACCAGGTAAAACTTTTCTTATATTAATATTTATAACGAATGGAAACCCTTAGTTTCTTTTAGAGAATGTCAATGTTAATGGTACCGGTGCACGGTAAAGTTTCTATGAACCTATGATTATACCATTATGTAACGTTAAATTAATGAATATAATCTATGAATAAAAACTAAATAAAAACAAATGCTCTAAGCAGTCACAATAATCCTGTTAATCAATTCTGTCGGAACTGCTTGTGATAAAAGTGTTCGCAACGAAACATTCATTTACCTTTTCGAACGGGTTCCAACCTTGTGGCGGTGGCGGGGGCGCGGCTGGTTTGAAGAGAAGAACAGAAGTAAGAAATGTTCTCTCCCGAGTAAAGGCCACAAAGAGTTAGTCAGTGCAAGTCAATGCAAGTAGACATTTCCCCATGAGAAAAAAAAAAGTTTCTCACGGTAGTACTGGAATGGTAGATTCAAATCCACGACTTTTAGTTTCTCAGTCCGAAGCCTAAACTATTATTAGGTTTCTATCACTTAAGACATCCACTAGAATGCTAAATGTTCAATTATTAATTTTGTTAAAATGTTAAAACAATAAGGTAATGATGTGTATTAGTAGTATATTAAAAATTTTTACCGATACCACAACTAAGCAAGAACTGTTTAAATTATCTGAGACAAGAATGAGAAAAACAGAAAATTATTTGCGAGATATCAGTATCTAGAAATAAAATTGAACTGCCATTTCGATCAATTTAGGACGACACGCTGAAAGAACTTTCAGGATATAATAAAGATCGATGTGATTGAATCAGTAAGACGACGCAGTGTAGGATTGGCAGGTAAGCCTACGAAGTATATAACATTGTTAATGCCCAAGTGTTGAAATGTATATATATATATATATATAATGTAATGATGATATATATATATATGTGTGTGTGTGTGTGTGTGTGTGTGTGTGTGTGTGTGTGTGTGTTTGTATGTGTGTATGATTTTAACAAAATTATTTATGGATATAGTGTGCCCTCTGGAAGCTGGCTGATGGGGGAAAACATTTAATTATCAGTATTGTGAAATATTCCCCTATCTATACTCATATAATAAAGTAGAAGAATTTTACGCTTAACCACGCTAATGTCAGGAACTGCCAGAGCGATTAGAAAAAATTTTTTTCGATATGTATATGATAGCCAGATTTATAAGGAATAGTATAGGCAGGCCTCTGTCACTCTTGCTACTTGCGTGAAATAATTACCTAAAATCGCGATTCACCGAGGGCGTAATACGCAGTCGGGGCTAGCGCGTTCTAGGCGATTGATGTATTTTTAACGCTGCTTACGTAAATAGTTTTTTGTAAACATTTGTTGTAATTTTTGTTTAGTGTTTAGTATTTGATTGTAGGATAAAATAGTACAAATTTTTTTAATGCGATTTAAAAATCTTCTTATCTATTTGACAAATTATAATAGCAAAACATCGAACCTACTTTAATTGTTGCGTGGATTCAGATATATAATTTTTTAAGTTACCTAAGGATATTGAAATGTACATTTATTTCATTTTTTTGTTAAATAAATACTTATAGCAAAAATGAATTACGTAATTATTTTTAATACAGAAGTAATACCTAAGTACTTTATTACAATACTTAGTTGAAATTTACGTAGGTAACTAAAGAAATGACGACCTGGTAAGACATACAGGAAGTCGATGGATGCAGGTGGCTCAGGACCGTGCTTTGTGGCATACCTTGGGGGAGGCCTATGTTCAGCAGTGGACTTGTGAAGGGCTGTAATGATGATGATGATGATGATAGGCTACACCTCTCTTGCTGAGAAGTGTAGCCTTGGATACTGACTTTTGTTTAGGTAGTCGAAAGAAAAAAAGGTTCTTGAACTGTTTTATCCGCGTGCGATGGCGTATTGGTTAGTGATAAATACAATGCCTTACAAAAATGTTGATCTTTTCTCCATCTAAAAAAGTCTCAAATATCATATACCTATTTCTTATAAATAGGTCACAGTAAGTTATTTCGTGACAAAAATATTAACAATTCAAAAGTGATGTATGAACATTATTATTAGGCATGACATTTACCTTACGAACGAAAGTTACTTTATCATCACGACAATTTTATAAAGATAAACTTTGCTCTTTAAAGCATGTAATTTTGAAGCATAGTTTAAGAGACAATGAAAATATAAAATATTTCAACACTCGGCTCGCTTCTCGAACGACGCATAATACCAGCCGTCGCGTCGTACGAGCATAAGCGAGGTGTCGCGCGGCTCTGACGCATGATATACGCGGGCGAAACCGCAGGGCACAGTAGTGCCATATATATTAGACAGTAATTCAATAGAGAAATATTACAAAACTATAATTGGTCAAATATAATAAGAAATCTTAACTTATTAATAAGTTCTTTACCATATGGTGGCTGTACAAGAAAATCCATCACTTCGTCTAATTAGTAATGTAAGGGTTGAAAATTTTGTCAAACCCTCATAGTTATATTGCAGACTCATTATTAACAGCGGACAATCACCTAATATGATTTGTTATCTTACTATATAATCACGTAAGTCCAGGCTACAGCATGAATACGTTGACTAGACTGGAACAGTAATAGGCTCTTACAGAATATGAGCTTTAAATAATAGTGTATGATCCTATTAATATTCTAATAATAATAGTGTAATTTTTGTGTCGATGTAAGAACCGGAGACCCTTATTATTACTGGGTTGATTCATCTAACTCTTCCATCAGTCAGGTCAGGTCAATAACAAATGTGCATGATTCCTCGTATTTGTAAAACCTACGTATTTTCGACCGATATCGTTGACTTTTGTAGAAAAAAATTCTTTGTAAATGTAACCTGAATAGTGAATATCAAGATCACGTTAAGTGTCATTGCGCCTTGACAAGGCTACTTTGACAGACAGGCGATGTCGAGAGACACTTACGTCGGCTTTAGACACTTTCAAATCATTTATTCGTCAAAGAAGAAAACATATTTATTGTTAGACGCTGTAACAATTTGAAATGGAATTTTATATTAGGATAATGTTTTGATTTTCAAAATTATCTAGATAAGTGTAAATTTTTTATAAAATTATATTTTTCATTAACATGCAATTTTTACCGATACCGCTACAGTCTATCAAAGTCCATTGTTAAACTTAGGCCTCAACTATAGCTTCATATGCTGTATATTTGCCATAGCTGCCATGATTGACATGCGGATTGGCAACCGCGATTTTTTTACATTATTGTTTTTATTAGGAAGACGCTGCTGGCCTTCTCCTGATTCGTTTCCCTGTATCTCCTCTTACCTCATCCACGGGACGGTATATGGTAGTGAATATCTTTTTACCGCCCGTTTCCCTGTATCTCCTCTTACCTCATCCACGGGACGGTATATGGTAGTGAATATCTTTTTATCGCCACTCAGTTAATGCGACTAATGAAAATCATTTTTGTAGTAATAAAAACTCTATCAATTTGTGTTAGAATGGTATTTACTTTACCTAATTGTTTTCTAAATGCTTTTTTAAATTGGTTAACTTTGCAGAGTCAAAAGAATTGCACTTTCACTCATTCTGTACGTATTATTTTTATATTTTATTACATAAAGGATTCTAGAAAGTTGATGATATAAAGAAGTTTATGTCACTTTGAAATTCTAGTTGGTTTTAGTATATTAGTAAAGTAAAAAGTAATAAAGGAATAAATTTTAATAAACCATTAATTTTATTTGCCGTAGCTATAGGTTAGCCATTGGCACGGTAATTTCATCTATACAGTATTCCAACTTCATACAAACGGACGAAACGAGAGCTATGCCTACGAACCTCGATCTCGGCATGCGCTCAGCATGCAGACAGTCGAGACTGTGCCGCAGTGATGATTTTGTGGAATATATAAAAAAATGGAGGAAATAAATAATAGAATAGAAATAAAGAAATAATAAATCCAAACTTCATTTAAAACCAAACATATAAATTGTAAAATATCTTTTACTTGGTTATAGAATATAGATACCTCTAATAAAGCATTTCGTACGTCTCAGCCCAGGTGCAATATTTTTCGGTCGCAAATTCATAAGACCGATTTGTTATTCAAACAAACATGGTTTTTTAATTAAATCTACCAATCAAAAAACGACACGAATTTTTATTGAACACTTCCTATTCAATTCAAAAAGTACCTATTATATTTGTTTATATAAAAAAGTATATTTACAATCATAAAACTAAATGGAAACACAAAGTAGGCAAATGTAAAAATGGTGGAGGCAGGCAGCCCTATCGCATGTTTACGTACCGCGCGGTTGTAGGCATTTATTTCAAAGATACGGCCGAGTTACAATACTGTATAGATAATATTACCGTGCCATTGGTGAATACTAATGAGTAATAAAATTATATAAAATAAAAACATGTGAAATAAATAAATACCTATCGCCGCGAAAGAATATATTTCGTATATACCCATCCGTAATTAAATGAAACCTGTTACATTGTATTTTGTTTCAATAAAATTGCTAATATTGTAAGCAATTGTTAATTTCTAGCAAATTAACTTTTACATTGAATTAAAAAAGTCATGTGCGTGAAAAACTAATGTTGTTTTAATAGTGAAAATTGTAATCGGAGTTGGTAATTTGAGGATTCATTATTATGCCAAAATGTTAATATGGTCTGTGTTAATATTTACTACATATGACCTACGTTTGGTATTCCAAAAAAAAAACGTGAGCATATGGTCATTCATTATGTATATACGTATATACAATTATATTTAAATTACATTTTTTATATATATATATATATATATATATATATATATATATACTGGGAGAGAACATCTTATAACATTTAGCCAGTCTTACTGTACGTACGTAATATCTTTTCAAATGCAAAATATAAAAGTACAAAAATCACTTACCTTTCTTTCCGAAGTTCACTGTTCCGCTTGCGAAAGTTGGCGACGAGTACTTGCATTTCAGCTGAATGTCTTTCATACAGTTGTGACAGTTGAGTTGTGAAGTCTGATACTGTAACAAAAAGAAATCATTAAACAAAAATACGTTTTGGATATCTTCATTTCGAAGTTGTATTTAAACCAATAGCAATCGTTAATTGACCGTGTAGTGGCGATGTAAAAATATCCAATACTCCGTGCCAATCCGCGGGTGGCGTAAAAGGTGATAGTAAAAAAAGAAAAATTAACAACTGCTGTTACCCACCAAGTGCCACCCACTTAATAGTAGCAACGCCAAGCGTGGAAGTTGTAGCAAATATTACCCCCATGAGGCAATCTCTGGAGATGCCCATCTATGTTCAGCGGTGGTTTTTGATAGGCTGTTACGGTAATGGTAATATTTTTTTAATATTTCATATTGCAAATGTATCTACCTCAAAAGGAACTGATCGAAAAGTACTGCTACTATAATTTCATTGGATTTTAATTGTAAGTTTAGTATAAATGTGTAAATTGTTTAAAAATTATAAATTTAAGTAGATTTTTATGCACATTTTTTTCATTTCGATGACTCATCTGGATGTATATGAGAATAAATAACGGTTCCCATTAACGGTTTTTACTCTAATGGGATGACCTAGTCGAGTTAACCCGTTTTCATGATACGGCCTACTATATCTGTTTAAATGAAGTGGTATCTCTCAAGTCTACGTATCGTGTTATTTTAGTTATCAAAAATAGTTCTTGTCGAAAATCAGCACCTGAAATTGCAATTAACAATCTCATTGGTGCCGTTAGACTTTAAACCAATGTTGCTCTCGTATTGTAGAATTTACAGGAAGCATTCAGCACTTGGGTTATCACGATTAGGGTAGCTCAGAAGCTAAGTGCTACTAAGTGTAAGAAGTATTAATCTAATGTGATCTTTTTCTCCGAAGTCATGTAATGGAAGTGCGAAGGAAACCATGCTACTGTTTAAGGAGACGAAGAGAAGAAATAGGCTTAGACACTTTAGTCATGAAATGAAGCCTTTACTTATTATTCATTAGTCTTTAAAAAAAACATCAATTACTTTAATGGCAAACTCGTTTAAATTTAAATTTAAACCTTTTCAGTGCTTAAATCTAGATCATTTATCAAGGTCGCTTTCATGAAGAGTTGCCCGTCGTTTACGGCTCATTATGGTTCCGGTAGTTTGAGGCAAGGCTCTTAAGCACTTAAGTGGGGAACCATTAATGAACGTTGATTTTATAGAAAAGGTAGGTACCTGAATTTACTTACAACATGTAACCAAAACCTTGTGTTCGATAAGTGCGTTATCAGAATCAGTATTCAAGCGTATAAAAATAAGTTAACCTCAGAAAACTTACCCTATTTTTTTAAAATTAATTTTAAATAAATATTTGCAAATTTTATGTGGTTTTATTAACTCTAACTGACACGTGCATCGGTAAAGCGGGAACTTTTACAATATTCTTATTCCCCGGACAGTGCAGAAGCTGTGTCAGAAGTTATAAATCCACGTACAGTTTGCAAATAAAATTTTATTTAAATTTAATTTAACTTTTTTGGTCGAGTTTTCTGAGGTAAAGTTATTTCTATAAACGTTATGTGTAAACTAATTGAAACTGGTCTGGCCACAATTTCTTTTCTAAAACTTTCATTACCCTTATAGTTTAATAAAAGAGATTCATATATACGTCGTGACCAGGTCGTAGAAAAGGTCATATCATAAAGTATGCCATCATTTTGTGAAATGATGTTTTTTCATGATATTTATCACTCTTTGTGGACCACGTCATATTACATGATATATTGACCAAATCAATGAATAGATATCGTTTGAGGATATTAACAACTAAACACAACACTGCTATTTCATGATATGGTCACATCGTCGAATGGATTTTTACCGCTACCATAGCCGATAGCATATTTTTTTAACAGAAACAGAATTTATAGCAGACTCAACATCACTTTTATGTCTTATACATGTAATAAATAAAAGTTCGCTTTCGCGTTCGCTTTAGGATTCGTAGGTATGTATGTAGGTAGGTATTCGGGGTTACACCCCAACAATCTTTTGCTGATATTACTAGATAGTATAGTTTTGGCTTTCATTATTTCATATAATATTAGCGCCATCTACTTACTGCTAAATAAACTAATGATAGGTCACCGACAAATTTAAATAATAGCTTGAAAACTAAGTGTATGAATATTAAGTGCTCTGCGAGATTTTTATATTTGATGGAATAATTCCAGCAACGTTAGCTATCTAATTACTAGGTAGACATGATCAACAATCGTGCAAATGCTTCAATTCAGTTTTAATGAATTTTATTTAAACAAATGCGAGTTCCCACCGTGAGATTTCATCATAGCACGGGAGAAAAACCTGTAAGATTTTCTCGAGGACAAATGGAATTATTATAGGTTTCGTCGGTGAAGTTGTGGAGAATAACCTCTTGGGGAAATCCAGATATCTGAGTAGTTAAATAAAGTCGTCAAAATGTGAAAACCAATAATATGCATTGAAGCATTGCGATATACTCTTTTATGTCTACAAAACACTATGGGTACTCGTAGATAACGAGGAGCTCTGTGCACGGCCGTGTGACGTATGAAAGCTGCTACTTTACTTTTTTTCCTTTAATCAAACTTATAAATCAGTTTATCATTTAAGATAGCTTTCATATTTTCAAACATATTTAAGATTTTTCTGACAGTCCACAGCTCACATGAGTATATGTAGATGAACAGACTCTTGGGAAAAAATGATTTAATTATAAAAGAAAGCACATTTTAAGTAAGCAAAGCTCTATTTTATTTTACTTGTCAAAAAGGGTAATCAAACTGATTCAAACGTAAATTTTAAGCAACCCAAATTCGATATATTTTAATAGCAATTTGAACTTTTTACGTGGTAGCTATATTATAGTTCTATCGCCAATGGGTCGGCTCAACCGGGATAGGACCACTCTCACAGAACACCAGTGTAAAATAGCAGCTTAATGCTGTGTTTTGTATGGTGAGTGTAGAGAACCGGAGACCCTTTTTATTGGAATCGAGGATTCCATCTTAGTCCTCAGGGGTGACAACGCATTTGCATTTTGATTCTTAATTGAGGATACATGTGGATGTCTATGTGCTACAGAATCCACTCACCATCAGGTGGACTGTAAGCTCGTTTGTCACCCAATGCTATAAAGCGGTAAACGAAACATCTTGAGGAAACTTGCCTTTGTGAGAAGTCCCCCAGTTAAAGTCATCCCACACTGGGGTCAGCGCAAAGAACATTTTTTTTGGCCCAAAACTCTATGCGGCCTGTGCCGAGCTGAGAAATTAATGTAGGATGCTATGTAGTTTATTACTCTTAATGGGTCAATAACGTAGTTTTTATTTCTTTTATATTTTCGGAGATGTTAATTTTCGTCCTTCTACCGTAAATGGGTATTTCTCATCAAATTTCGAAATTTGATTACCGAGTGATTAGTGCGGAGTCATATTATACATTTACTACATAAGTCTTTTTTATTTCAATGCACGCTTTAAAACTTTATTAACGTTATTATTTAAAAAGAAAACGTATTACCTCTAAAACTACTTTGTTACCGTGAAAGTAAATTCCTCACCTTATCCCTTAGCTCAAAAACATTACTGAACTGCCTATTTATCTCAAATTTAGCAACATTCATAATATTGAAATTATACTAATATATTAGAAAGATGTTTTTACTGTCTATAAAGCTTCCATTTTATAACGGCAAATTTATTAATACGATAACACGATATGAAATATGTCCCGCCAAATAAAATAATTCCCTCCCCCTATTACGAATATTCGATTTCTGAACATATTGAACGATATTTAGGAAGGCAAGCTTAATGTTGTACCTGGCAACACTCTTAAATGATTCAAGATGGCAATTTCTTCTCAACTATAGGTGAGTTTGTGCAAAAACATATTATGTACAAAATTGTTAAGAGTTACATCTATTTCGATCATTACCTCACGTTAGATGTATGTATTAAGAGTTTTAGTTTTTATGCGTTTTTGGGAGTAAAATGCATATTCGAAATGTAACAAATAAATTAAGGTTAGGTACCGGTGTTTTTATAGCTTTAGTTAAAATTCATCATTCCCTCACAGTCGTTCCCTCACTGCATTTAGGAGTGACGGAATCACGGCTGTATGAGGGAACGATTTATGCCGTATTCTACGGTATTTTTAGATTTTTTATTTATTTCTCGCAACTTGTATTTCATGGTATTTAATTTAAAAGAGGTACATGTATGTGGAAGAAAAATTGCACGACCTAAGAAGTTGAGTGATGCAGAAAGAATTAAAAAAGAAAGACTATTAGAGGAAAAGGCGAGAAAAAAATGAAAAATAATACTGAATCTTTGGAAAAACTGCGGGAAAAAGAAAGAAAAAATATTTAAAGAGATAGGAGAAGGGTCAGGTAAAATCAGTTATTCATATTAATGCTAGAGAATTTACACAAAAAGCGAAAACAATGGAAAGAAAATAGTAAAGTGCATAGGAATAAAAAGTTATAGCACACCAAAATTTACAAAGAATACTTGATGATACACCCCCGCCAAGTCTAGTATCAGTTGTGCAGTAAACTAGAGATTCTAAACTTCAAAAATAAAGAATGAAGAATGCAGTGAAGTTAAGTGAAAAATACAAGAAGAAGTGTTTGAGAATGAAAACAAAAAAAAAACTGACCATGAATCGCCTGCAACTAAAGTAAAATGCGCTCCTAAAGAATGTAAACGTTCTTGAGAGTGTAAAGAAGACATTACTTTTCGTAGAAGATTTAACAAGAGATCTAGATACTAGTTACAACTATCTCATAAAGAAGTCTAGGACTATTCATACTTTCCGGGCAACACAAAAACTACGCCAATTCGTATTTTTAACACCTTACAGTGCAGAAGACTATCATGTATAGATTGTACACACTATCATTTGGGATATTTTCAACAACGCCAAAGTAATCGATTTACTACGAGGCGTAACAAATCCCCTCAAAAGCAATGTAATTGGATGTAATAAAGGATAAT